AAATAATTGTAGATTCATGAAAAAATTATAATTATGGTTATAAATATTTATAAAGTTTTTTACTTATTTATAATTAGCTGTTCAAGCTAACACTGATTTGATATTATTCTCAAATTTTACTCACCTGTACCAACAACAAAGGGCATTCCGTGATCCCACCAGAGCCAGGGACATCATACGGAAACTCCTTAGCTAGGAAGCATAAATATGGATACGAGATACGGATACGGATACGATACGATACGGATATGGCGATACGACAAAACCTAAAAAAATACGATACCGGTATGATTAGGATACGTTTGTGAAAAATATATTTTTTTAAATTATTAATAGTGAGTTACACATAAGCTAAAGAATGTTGAGAAACCACAATGCAATTTTATAATGCAAAATACTAATTTTTAAGAATTTTGTTTAATTTAAGCTAGTAGCTTGTTTACTTTTTAAATTATTAATAGGCCTTGCAAATATTTCATTTCAATATCAAGTTTAATATATTTATATTACAATAATAGAACAACTCACAACTTGTCCCTATACTTTTTCCTTTGCCTTTAGTGAAAAATATTGTATTCAAGTTTACTTGCTTATTTATTTATTGATATTTAATTTTACCATTATTACATTCTCTTGTTGATTCTTACTTTCTATGGGACATGTATGAAATAATTAGGATACATCAATTTGATAAATTCTATTATTTAACTTATTATGTTCTTCTTATCGAAGAACTTAACAAAGTATTAAAAAAATATTTTTATATTTATACTTACAATTATATTATATTACTATGCAAGAAATGTTACAATTCTAATTTCATAAAACAAGTAAATATGACTTGGAGTATCTGATACTTCAAAATTAAATATCCGAAACTCTAAAATTAATGAAAAAATAATTAAGAAGTATCCGATACTTTTAATAAGTATCCGATACGTATCCGCGAGTATCCTAGGAGTATCGGTATTCGATACGGATACGATACGAATACGTCACCCTATTTGAAGTATCCGTGCTTCATAGCTCCTTAGCATAGGGACACGGTGGCCGGACAAAGTCGCCGAGCTGGTCGAGGCTGACATTTGCATCGGCCTTAGAGATGGCAATCGGAACCCGGCCCGACGGGAACTCGATCCCCCGACCCCGAATTGAGCGGTTATTCCCCGAAAAATACCTCCGACGGGCCGGGGATGGTATGAAAAATTAAATCCCCGATGATATTCGGGCCGGGGACGGGGATTCATGTTTCAGCCCCGGACCTGGTTCAACCCCGGCCCCGATCCCCGGCCTGGTTCCCCCGATGTGGATTTACTATTTTGCCCCTGCTTATATATAACACATGTGTGTGTTTGTGTAGGGTTTTATTTCACACACAACACACACCGACACAGTCGCTGTGTCTGCTCTCTCTCTCTTTCTCTAGGGTTTCGCCTTCCTCTCTCCCTCTTTTTCGCACAACGACGGCGCCGATCCTCATCCCTCACCGCCGCTCCTCTCTCTCTCTCTCCCTCTCTCTCTCTCTCTCTCTCTCTCTCTCTCTCTCTATTTCGGGATCTCGATCTAATTCTGGTTTACATACATACATATATATATATATATATATATTATAGTATATATATATATATCTCTGTAACTCTGTTTGACCTCTGTTTTTTTTTTCTCTCTCTAAATTTATTTGTTTTAAATATCTATATAATAAGCCAAGAGGCTTTTTGAAAATGTATCAAAATGTATGTGAGATACATTTTGATCCAATGGCAGAGATAATCCCAATTAATATCCAACGGTTGTCATCAATTTTTTTACCGCCCAAACAATTTCTGCTCTCTCTCTCTCACATCTGCCTAAACACGTCTCTCCCTCACCCTTCCCTCTCTCATCCAACGATTCTTCTTTCCTACCCTCCATCTTCGCTAGCTCCCGACGCTGCTCTCCAGTCCTTGATATCTGCCTCTCGAACTCGGCTCGCAAGGTAAGATATCTGTCTCTCCCCTTCTGTTTCTGTCGAGTTGTGTATGTTTTTTAATTGTTTCAGTGGTTTCAGTCTCTTTTTCTACCTCTCTCCTTCTCTCTCTGTCGGGCTGTGAGGTTTTATTTACGGGTCATTTAGGTTGGGTTGTGAGGTTTTTGTCTGATCGATTTCTTGCTGGTTCTGTTTGTGCAAATGATAGTGTTGCCTATTCTTCCCCCAAGAGACCCGATTAAATCGCCAACAACGGGGAGCTCACGATCGTCGGATTGGAAATCGACCTCGAAGATCTCGAGATTTACCGACGAAGGCCATCGTCCTCGCCACCGACGCCGATCTGTTAACCCTCTTCACACACGCCATAACCACCACCACCACCAAAATTGATAGGTACAAACACACACACACACACACACATATATATATATATATAGAGAGAGAGAGAGAAATTGGGGATCTGGGAAATGGATAAATAAGGAATTAGGGTTAGGGTTGAGAGATGTTATTGAAAATTGAGGAAGATTTAGATGCGAGAGATAGACAGATCATGAATGTGAATGTATTTTTCCATTATTTGTTCATTTGTATTTTTTCATTGTTTATTCTGGGTTGATCATTGAAGGATTTTCTGGTAATTGTGGGAAGGGGCTTCATTTCTTCAACATTTGAGCCTTTGGGGACCTACATTGTGCTCCCTCTCCCTCCCTCCCTCTCTCTCTCCCTCTCTCTCTATTCAAGTGTAAATAATTTCCTTATTGTTTCTTAGTTTTTAGTTTCGTATCTCAGGTGATTTGTGCTGGGTTAAAACTCATACATTTGTGACTTTGTGCCTTAAAACTCTGCTGCCTTGAATTCTGACTTTGTGCCTTAAAATTCTGCTGGGTTAGTTTATCTCTCACATCATAGAATCAAAGAATCCAAAATAAACTTGACTCAGGTTGACTTTGACTTTAAATTCTGCTAGGTCAATAAATTTTATTTTATAGTCCAAAAATAATAGTCCAAAAAAATAAAAGAGATCCCAAACAGGTATTTTAATTAGTTAAGTTCTTCATTTTTTCCCCCACTGAATCAAATCAATCTCTCCCTAGAAGATAGGGTATTTGAATGTCTACCTATGTATTTTATGTATGAGTAACCTGATACATATACACATATTGATATATATGTTTTGTGGGGATTATGTATGCATATATTTCTGTATATCCAAGTTATCATTGGTGGAGCTACATAATCCCACTCAAAATTAGGATTTTTTTTGTTTAAATATGTGTATTTATGCAAAAGTTTTGGGAGTTCTAGAAATTGAAGGCAGCGGAATGATTAGAAAAATTAAAATTGGATTTTTTTTTTGGGTTTGTGCTTGAATCTTGGATTTGGAGAGTGATTTGTGGAGAGAAAAAGAAAGTGATTGGAAATATGAATTAAAATTAGGTTTTTATTTTTTATTTATTTTTATTTATTATTTTGTGTGTGTGTGTGCTTGAATCTAGAACTTCCAACTTTTGCAATTCATGATATTTTTGTGGGTTTGGTTGTTTCTGATTGCTTGAATCTAGATATTTTTGTGGGTTTGCAAGGTTGAATCTGAATATCTTTTAATCTGGTTATTTTTTGTTGAATCTGGATTCTAGATATTTTTTCATTTTGTTGAATCTTAGATCATTCATTTTTGTGAGTTGTGGATTGGTGTTGAAATTGCAATTCATCAATTTTAAACTGTAAACCTTTTTGACATTTGTGGGTGTTTGGTTGGGTTGGTCATTGTATGGGTTTGTATTTACAGTTTGGCTTCTAACATGGGTTTGATTTTGAAATGAGAAATGAGTTTTGATTTTTGAAATTCTTAAATGGATTTAATTTTGTAAAAGGTTTTGGGTGTGAAATAATACTTGATCTTCATGAAATGGGTTTCATTTTTTAAATGGGTTTTGATTTCAGAAATGAATTTTTATTTTCAGTTTGATTTCTGACATGGTTTTGATTCTTTAATGGGAAATGGGTGTTAATTTCCTATGATTTTGAAAAGCTTTTGATTTATGAAATGGGTTTTAATTTATGAAATTAGTTTGAAATGTTTGTTGTATGGGTGTATCTACTTTGACCTTTTGAATTTTTTGTGGCCTGCAATTAACTACATAACCTGTGGCTTTTTATTCTATGTTTAATTTGCTTTTGAAGTTGTGGCACCTGTTGTCATATTGGTTGTGCATTTGATGATGGCTGGAGTCACTTAGATTTATTTCTTATGGGTATAGGTTTAATGTTATGAAAGTATTTATGTCATTTCACTTCTTCCTTTTGTTTGTAGATCCATTTTCTATTGCAACTATAATGGTAAATAAAACAAATGGGAACTCTTTGCTTGGCCAATATAAACGATGGCAACCCAAAGTGAGATTTTTTTTTTTATATTATTTTTGTGTAAAAATTTAATATCAAATAATGTTTTAACTTATTCTTCACGACATGTAAGTAGGCACATTATGAGCTTGAATGCCAATTCTGATAGAGTTCTCTTCCATTATAATGGACATGGTGTGCCAAAACCAACTGCTAATGGTGAAATTTGGGTATTCAATAAGGTTAGTATCTAATGTGAAGTTATGATCATGTTCTTTTCTCTATCACTTCCAGACTTCTAAAGTAGCGATGTTATTTCTTAACTGTTCTTCTTCTTCTTTTTGTTTTTAAAGTCTGGAACCAATACAATTTGGTACCAATTGGCAGCAGTGGATTGGCTTAGAGGGATGCCTACTGGGTACTCAACCATTGTCAATCTTTAAATAGACTTTGAAAAAGGTATTTTACTTTGATTGTTTGTTAGATTGCACTCTCACACTCAGATTTTAGTTGGTTTTGCTAAAAGGAAAGCATTAGTTGCTATGATTGAGAACCTATGGCGGTAATGGACCCATGGTGATCAGGTCTCCGATTGATACATTATTAAGCTTACTCATTTTCGTTGTTATTTTTTTTTCTCATTTGACAATGCCATTGTTTATTAAAAAGAGAAACCATTGTGTGATAGTGTATGTGTGCAGACAAGTGGAGTGAGATCAACCGATGACGCCAAGCTAGGATAAGTTCTATGGTAATTTCTATTTTTTCTTTTTTCTTTTCTTTTTCAGCTCTCCATGTCCAACCATACGCACTATCGATCTAATTTGTCATTACATACATAAATGAGGGATTTTAAACTCTAATTTTTTCGTTCTATTTCATGTGATATTTGTTATTTCTTTATGATTTTGGGGTTCTCATGTAGAGAGTTGTACTAAATATACTATTTATGTGGCCAATTGGCAGCTTCACAATAGAATGAAGTCAGTTGCTTGGAGTCAGTTGCTTGAAGTCAGTTGCTTTTGTTGAGTTGATTTTTGGATTCTATGATTTTATCAAAGATCATTTACTCCACCTAGCAGAATTTTATTTTTGGACTATGATCATTTAAAGATCATTTGTGACTTTGACTTTAAATTTTATTTTATCAAATTCTGCTGGGTTAGTCTATGACTTTCAGAATAATAAAATTGACTCAGGTTGACTGATTTCCTGTTTTTTACACCGTGCCTTGAGTAAAAATTAAAGAGTACTCATGTTAATAACTCATGCTAAAATAACCGCAACTGGAGTTAAATGTGTTAAATTCTGAAATCACATGTTAAATGTGTGTTAAATTCTGAAATCATGCTAAGAGAAAGAGAAAGACAAAGAAAGTGTTGTTGAGTGAATTATAACCGCAACTGGAGTTAAATGTGTGGGGAATTGGAACACATAGTCAATTTGACTTCCTATAGTCATCAAATTCTGAAATCAAATTTGACTTCTTATAGTCATCAAATTCTGAAATCACAAAATCAAATTTGACTTCCTGTAGACATGAAATTCTGAAATCAAATTTGACTTCCTTTAATCAAATTCTGAAATCAATTTGAACACAATGGAACACACGGTGTAACTCAGTCAATTTTGTGTTAAAATTTGTGTTTCCATTACTTTATGAAATTTCACATTGATCACATAACAGAATTTGACATTTATGCTTCTGCTTGAATTTTTATTTTATTTTTTTTAAATGTTTCTCTGAAAATAGCAGCTCATATCCATGTTAATTCTTTGTTTTTTCAGGTAACAAGATTCGTCTCTGGAATAAGGGTGTTGATTCCGAAAGCTTCTATCCCAAATATCGCTCTCAAGAAATGCGAATAAGACTAAGGTATGGCTTTCTTTTAATCCTTAAAATTTCATTGCCATGTAATATGAGTTTCCTCCAAATGTTAATATATTGTTCTTTTTTTAATCAGCAATGGGGAGCCCGAGAGACCATTGATAGTCTATGTTGGACGACTAGGAGTTGAGAAGAGTTTGGATTTACTCAAAAGGTACTGCTCTTTTATTTCAAATGATAAGTATTTTCTGCTTTTGCAATTTAGGAAATATTACTTGCAAAAATATTGACGGAACAATGCTTTTTTTTCATAATTATTATAAGTTGTAACCATTGACATTTGGGATGTATGATTGAACAGTGTCATGGACTTGATACCGGAGGCACAAATTGCTTTTATTGGAGATGGACCATACAGGTATTTCTCTAAGGACTTATTGGTTGTTTAGTTTTGTCAACATTGCTGGAACAATCTCTATAGAATATAGTATAAAATGATTCTTTGTATTAAAAACCACAAACCGCTGTCTAACGAAATGAATTATTTATTTTTATATTTTTGCATGCATCCAATGATACATAAATTGGGCCATGATGATCGCCTGAATTTATTTTCCAGTAACAACCATGGGCAAAATTCATTCAACACCTTGATTTCTTCGTGGCAGGGAGGATCTCGAAAAGCTGTTCTCCGGCATGCCTGCCGTATTCACAGGGATGTTAGGAGGTGAAGAGCTCTCTCAAGCATATGCGAGCAGAGATGTTTTCGTCATGCCTTCAGAATCAGAGACGCTCGGACACATAATGTCATTTTCAGAAAACAGGTGAAAAGGTTGGTGTTTTTTTTTTTTTGAGCAAACATAAAAAGGTTGGTTGGTGAATTGTTTTTGATTTAATTAAATTTTTGTAATGAACAAAACCCACTTTTTAGGAATTATTTTTCGAATTTTCGTAAACCGTTTTTTCTTAGCAATGAAAAAAACCACTTTTTTATTTTATTTTTTATTTTAACATTTATAGAAACACCCCAATCTATTAAGTCATATAAAGATATTGCACCAGAAATCCTATTTCTTTCTAATTTACCTAAACATTAATCTTTGGCATATGAATTTTCAATAGATTTCATTGTGTATTCACCTTAAACTAGGGATATGACTCATGAGAGCAGGGGCATTATTCATTCTTCATAGCAGCCGGTTTTAATTAAACCATAATTCAAAAACTGGTTCATATTTTTGTCAAAATAAAAACTACATAGAGATTAAAGAGTGAACTTCCAGAGATGACTAATTTTACAAACATAGTGTACATGAATTTACAGAGAATCACCGAACTTTGCATCACAATCAAGATCAATATTCCCATAGAGAAAGCTCAAGCAATTCATCAGAAATCGTCCAAACCAAAAACAATTAACTAAATTTTCGGCAATTAAAGCAACAATAGGATGAACAAACAATCTCAATGCAAATAAGCATAGAGAATTCACATCAATTGGGATTAATGTGATTACACAATAGCACATTTATACATAATTTAAAATACATCAAATTATCAAAATTCTAATTGGGAACAAAGAGAGAGAGATAGATATACCTTTACCGAGAGGAGCATTGGAGAAAGAAGAAGAAGTAGAGCAGAAGAAGAGAGAGAAGTCCGTGCGTCGTCTTGGTCCTCCAGTGCTTCTAGGTTGCTGCCAAAACTTAGGTATGTGATCAATTTCGTGTACTTTCTCTTTCTTCTTCCTCTTAGAAGCCTTTTTCTTCGCCATTGCTGTGAATTGAAGAAGAAGAAGAAGAAGAAGAAGAAGAAGGTGATCTAGTTTTTAGAGAGAGAAAACCCTAAAGAGAGAGAGAAGAAGAAGAAGGCATTGGTGATTTCGATCAGAGGAGACGACATGAGAATTGGATTGGGGAATCTTTGAAGTGTTGGTGCTGTGAAATGTGTGAATTGTTTTGTTAATGTAATGTAAATAGAAAGGAGGTTATAATGTGGGTTTTGCTTCATGTGTTCTATTCTCTTAATCTTTGTCAATGGATCACAATGTTTTATTGATTTTGCAATGTTTTAATGATAGAAGAGTTTTCTTTTGATTTCTTTTGATTTGTGTGCATTATTTGATATTTAATTTTTTTATATTTGATTTATTTGGAATTGTAGAGTACAGTCTGTTAAATATATTTTTATAACTGCATTTTAATCTTAATATTATTTACACCGTGCCTTTAGGCACGGGCATACGCTAGTATATATATATATGATCTCGATCTAATCTCGATCTGTTAAATATATATATATATATATGATATGATTTTTATGGTTATTGATCACAAATATATATATTATATATATAGATGATGGAAGATAATAGAATGTTATTGATCTTTTCTCTCTAAGTTATTGATCTGTTATATATGTTATTGATCTGTTAAAGATATATTATTCAATGATTATTATTATTTAATGATTACCGAGAGAGAAATAATTAGGTTTAGGAACAAAATTGAATTCTTATACAATAACAGATCTGTTAAAGATTTTTATACAATAACAGATCTGTTAAATAAAATTGAACAAAATTGAATTCTTATACAATAACAGATCTGTTAAATAATTATTCAATGATCTGTTAAAGATTTTTATACATTGAATGATCTGTTAAACATTAGAACAAAAATGATAAACATAGCATATTTTGTGACTGAAAAGATAATATACCCAAAAAATTACATTAGTAATAAAACATAGGAGACATACTAATGGAGAAAAAAGTGAAAAGGCAGTTATGCTCATGGAAATAATCATAGAAAGTTATAATTAATACATGTATAAAGTAACCATTAGAATTACTTATGGATGTGTTGGATTAATGATGTATATGGTTTACTGTATAATGACTTGGATGTTGCTTTAAATGAGAACTCATTCTCGATGCGCTCTAGACTCATTTCAATCCATAAATTTGAGCTTAGTTATTCCATAAATTTTATTATTAGTATTAATTATTTGTTTTTTCCTTTTGTTAGTTAACAGGAATTCAAGTTGAAGGAGATGATGGAACTTGTGTGGTTTGTATGAGTATTGGAGAAACAATGGATTTGATTTTTTTTATGTTGTAATGGATATATATATATTAATTTCAATTTTGGGTAACCTTTCCCTTGCGGGTTATGCTTGGGATTAATTATTCTCTTTGCTACTTGTTGAATTTTCTTGTGTGTGTGGGTTGTTGGACAGATGTTTTGTTGTTTGTGCTATTTTGTTTAGGAGATATTGATTTGAATAAGATGCTGCTGGAAACTGCTGTACATGTTCTTGGCAAATATGTTGATGCTTGTAGAATTTGTATAGGATGGACAGATTTATTGAATTTGTTTATATGTGGATTTATTGAATATGTGGACGCTGGAAACTGTTGTACATGTTCTTGGCAAATATGTTGATGTTTATAGAATTTGTATAGGATGGACAGATTTATTGAATTTGTTTATATGTGGATTTATTGAATATGTGGACAGAATTTGTTTATAGCACCTGTCAAAATAGCAGCCTGGATATGTTGACAAATATTTTATTAGGATGTTTATAGATTTTTATAGATTAAAAAAAAAAAAATCAACCGGCGATTTTTCGGGGGCGGGGATGGGGCTGGGCTATACGTCCCCGTCAGGGATCGGGAGCTGGGACGGGGCATATATCACTTTCGGGGATCGGGGACGGGGAGTGTAGTCCCCGGCCCGCCCTGCTCCGTTGCCATTCCTAATCGGCCTCAACCAGCAAGATGCCTTGGCCGGTGCAGTTCATTGTAAGTTCTTTGTTAGACTTTTCGATAAGCCTTCCAGTGAGCAGGTAGTAAAGCACAAGCGCTTTAGCCATTGCTTCTCTGATAACACTCACAGAATCTACATGATGATGATGAAGATGATGTTCTGTTTCTTTGATTCTATTCTTGTAGGGCATTATGATCCGAATATGACACCGGTGGACTTGTTAGTTGTCGATATCAGAGAGTTGCTTTAACTCTCGCGGCGTTGGCTTCGCCGGAGTGAGTAGTTCTGGTTTGCATCGTCTCACGGAGAATGATAGAGAGCTTGGTGGTGGTGATGGTGGTGCCCTTTTTGGTTTTGCGTGTGACAGACAAAATAAAAGAGGATATGAAGCATTTATAGGGTTTTAGTTGGGTCGAGGTAGTCTTGCACTGTCTCATTCAAAGTTGGAATTTGATCATTTCAATGCATGAACATACATGGTTAATTTTTGCAGTAAATTCAGTAAATTGTAAATTTTTAATTGGTTGATAAATTATAGTAAATGCAATTCACCTTATTTGGTTTTGACTGATTTTTTAAAAATTGAGTTTTTTCATTTTTTGTGTTTTTTTATTTTTATTTTTAGTGAATTCTTTTAGTATTTTAAATAATTTTTTTATTTTCTAGATGCACCTAAAATATTTTTGAAAAAACATTTTAATAAATTCAATAAATACATAAAATGCAAAAATGTATTGAATTTTTTTATTTTTGTATTTGATGAATTTTTTTAGGTTAGGTGCATCCAAAAATAAAAATAAAAATCTTAAAGTATTAAAATCTTTGGAGAATTGACCAGTAAATCCCATTTTTTAAACTTGTAATTCATAAGATCTTAAATATTTTTTTGGTGACTGAGTGGTCCCTTAAATTATTTGTTGACTGTTTTATCATTGTTAGTACAGTTGGGGGACAAGTGGCATGGTTACGTATGGGAAAGGTGGTGAGGTGTTTTGTATGTCAACGTTATTCGAAAAGCGCACTAGTAACTTTTTAAAGTTTGGTTATTTTTAACATGCGCAATGTAGGATTTTTCAATAAATTTCCCTAACATTTAAGTTAATTCTTGTAAGACTCTGTGAGATCCTCAATCTTGGTATTAGGGTTTAAAAATCAAATTTATGAACAATTTTAAATATGAAAATTCAATGTTTAATGCATGATGTAATAGATGTTAAAAATAAAAAAACTCTATACATATTGAATATTGATCATGTTAACTTAATGTAAGTATGTTTTAATTTTGAAATCTTAATTTGTAAAAAATATAAATTTAATTTTATCTTATAGTGCTCTATGATCGGTAAGTGCTAACTTACTAGTGCATATGATTGCATAATATATAATAAAATATTAAAAATTAATTTAAAAATGGAGAATCTTCGTGGCCATCTTCTTGATTTATATACTTCTTTAGGAATATTTACCAATAAATCCCATTTCACAAACTGTTAAACCAATTAGTCCTAACTTTTTTCTTTTGTTCGGGTAAGTCCTATTAGTGGAGAGGGTTGTTTCTGTCTGATCCTTCCATATATAGTGTCACTGTGTGGACGGTTTCACCCTTTATTGTTATGTTTCCATATTCTGTTGTGGGATCACGTGATTCTTTCGATTTTGTGGGTATCACAGTTGATATTTCAATGGTACACGTTTCAGCCTTTTCGTCTTAGGGTTTCGTCTTAGGGTATTCTGTTGTATCTCGTCCAACTTCCTCACCCATTTCGTTCTCTGCAAGTTCTTGTCACATGTTAGAAAGAGAGAGAGGTCCCCCGTGTGTCGTCCCTGTCCATCTCCCTCGAGCGCTCAAGTATGGATGCATGTATGTATCTGTGTATGGTATGTGATGCTCTCTCTCTCTCTCTCTAAACCGTGTATGTGTGTCTGGTCTGTTGGGTGTAATCCTCTCCCTCCCTCAACCGTGTGTGTGTCAATGGTCCCTTGGGTGTGTGTCCAAATCTATCAATGTGTATGCATCTCAGTCTTGAGTGCGTGTTGTGAATGTGTGTGTGTGTGTCTGCCTGTGTGGTGATGTGCATGTGTATGGTCCAACTTCCTCACCCATTTCGTTCTCTACAAGTTCTTGTGACTATGTTAGAAAGAGAGAGGGGTCCCCCGTGTGTCGTCCCTGTCCATCTCCCTCGAGCGCTCAAGTATGGATG